AGCCTGAAACAACTGCACCCATCTTGTGAACCAAATCCATGCTGTCTTCATTCGAATCTCCCCATAAAATATACTTCTGGCATAATGCCTATCCAGCTCAGATTCCTCTGCTGAAATATATCCCGTTCGTCTATAATAAAAACAAATCCTGTTTCATAACAAAACAAAAAGAACTGAGCAAGAGACTGACTACGCAATTAATTTTTGCCGTTTGCTTTCTGCCAAGAGCAACATGCTTGTTCTTATCCCGCTTCTTAGGATTGTCCTCCCCATGTGCCTCCTGTTTGTCCTTTTGTTTTGTTATCGGCTTTCGAGTCCTTCCTGAGTGCTCCTGGTCTGATCCTGTGCTCACGTTGGTGTGAAGTGAGAAGTAACTCTGCTGCATCAAACAGAGCTTTGCCAAGGTGAAATTTCTGTGGAAGGCCATCAGCCCTTTCTTTTAATATTAGCTAATAAAGCCTGTGCACAGCTTCAGCACAGCACTCCAGTTTTAATTAATAAGAATTAGCATATACATCTACATACACTATTTTTTTTCCCCTTTGTGGGCTCAACTACTTTGAAGAAAACCTCTTTGTATGTCTTCCTGGTTATGCTATGTCTTGACATTAAAAAACCCCAAACGAATAAAACCAGAAAACCAAAGTAGCATCAAACTCCCACACAAACAAAAGGCTTTGCTGCTGCCGGTGGCGGGGAGCACTGGGAGCAGCTCTTCCCGCCTGCTGAGAGGAGCCGGCTTCCAGCCCCTGCTCCTCACCACTGGGGAGCCGCCCAATTCCCAGCCCACCATCCCTTCCTCCGCCTTTGCACAATCCCACTGCAGTGACTTCCCAGTCCTAATTGGAGCCTCTGGGCATTATTGTATTATTATTATTTAATAAACAACTACATAAAACACTGGTTGACATTTAAATAAGAGTAAAGAAAGGAAAGCTCTGACTTCTAGACTGTTTTGTTTTCTTGTTGACTTGGGTGGAAGCAGGAGTAGGTTTTCTATACAATACCCACACTCACACAACACATGCTTATCTTTAATGTTATAGGAAAGGCACTACTAATGTGGGCCCAGTGCGGATGAGCAGGCCAAACTCTACTGAAGCTCTTAACCCCTGTTGCAACATAAACTGTAAATATAGAGTCATAACCTGGTTGTTCATGGATAAAATGTGCAGCTTTTCTTGCTTGAGCTACAATTTGCAAGGGTTCAGCCTCATTTTCTGCATTGGCACCCCCAGCATGTCCTTCTGAGCAGTTATCTGAAATGTGCAGCCATCAGGGTGCTATTAAGAAGAACAAATGGGAAAGACAGTTTTATTTTTGCATTTGTAAGTTTGAGACATTCCAGTGTGAGAGTTATCAGGACAAAAGAAAACGGTGGTGTCCTTGAAGTGAACGTAGAGGAGAACAACTAGTTCAATAAGGTTTTGAAAGAAAAACAAAGAGCTGAAGGCCAGAACTGACTCCTTTAGAAACAAGTCTAAAAGGAGACAGGATTCAAAGTGCTTAAAATATTTTGGTGACAAGCAACAAAGAAGTGGCTGTTACTAGAATTAATTGAATAAAGGAAAGGGAGAGAAAATCTTGAGAACTTTCTAAAAAGTGGAGATTTGATGTGTGGGGAGTATAAGGACAAAATTCTCCTGGGCCACGACTGGAGCCCTGAATCAGCATAACTCTTTTTCTTGAAGAAAGTGAAAACTAGACAAGGGCGAGTACATACACCCTTATTATCCTTTTTCATTGTGGATCAAAGAGGAGGAATTCACAGGGCTGCCAGCTCTCCACTTTTCCTGCAGTGAGTCTGGAGTGCAGGCTGGGTTTATTTCCCTCAGTTAGGCAATACTTCTTTATTACTCTAAATGATCAGGTCCTTTAATGGACTTCTTGTGAGATCTGAATCCTATTTGCAGGCTTGTGTTTTTAATGTATTTAGTAGGAGTGAAGCATTCTTGGTGTTTATAAAAATTATGTACATACATGCTTTAATTCTAGGGAGTTCACCCCTCATTCTTCCCACCATTTCATTACATGTTTGCTTTTCTGTATTATATATTAAAAACTTCACGCAGTGGCTCACTTGCATTTACATATGTGGACTGTAATAATTCTGTGATGTTGCTTGGAACTTCTGTATGAACATGTTATATAGAGTCAATGTGGGCATGACAGATTGCAGATTTTTTTGCAGATAAACACAGTCAGTGAATGCAAATATGACTGAATTTGTGTGCAAGTTTTAATATCTAAGCAGAGGTTATAAATGCATAACACCTGTAACCACAACTGTCAGTGCAAACAGGGAAGCTAATTTTAAGGCGTTTGCTCTGATTTAAAAGTGCTGGACTCTGAAATATTTCAGCTGTAATGGTGGAGATGTTTTGGTCCTCTGGAAGGTATTTAAGACCCTGTTATTAAAGAATACAGCCTTTATTAGCAGCTGATATGCCACGCTCCTTGTGAAAACAAGTACCAGAATGGTGAGGACTGCCTTATGAAGCAACCTGTGGCTTTTTAAGACATTATGGAAATCTTACTGTGAAATGGATTAAAAAGTGCTGGTTAAAGGTCTTAGGGAGATTAAGCATGGAGAATTTATTTGGAAAGCAAAATGGGAACTTATCGGAAGGGTGCTGGATTTCCATGAGTGGCTGTGTAGCCAGTACAGCTGTGGTCTCAAAGCAGGGAACTTGCTTAGGAAAGGCAGTGCAGTGGCATATAATGTAAGGAGAAAACGGAGTATGTCTGAATATGGGGTGTAGTAATCTTCCCCTGGAGGGAGATGGAGTGACTGCTTTTTGTGAGAATACTGAGACAAAACATATTGAATTGTTACCAAAGATGTAGATGAGTGAGTTCTGTAAAGTTTTCTGGTGCATTTTATCAAAACCATTTTATCAAGGCAAGGTTGAATGGGATCTAGTGGAGTTGTAACTAGATGATCTTTAAGGTGCCTTCCAACTCAAACCGTTCTATGATTCTATGAAAATTGTTCATGTCACAAAAAGAAAGAGGTACATACAAGTCCAAGACTTTAGTCAACAAAAAAGGTAAAATGAACCTCTTTCAGCACTTTCTTTTTTCATGAATACAAATCTCTGCTTGTTTCTGTATTTGGTGGAGGTAAAGTTGACCTTAATTGGCTTGCAAAGAATTTCCTAGAGGGATAGTTCAGGTTCAGCATGTGAAGGAAATTGTTTTGAATTCACTGGAAGTCCACCAGCTCTTTCTAAGTAAAACCATATTAGAGTAGCTGTTGAACTGCTATAAGAAAAGTTATGTTTCTCAGACAGAGGAAATTAAAATGTCTTTGTATTTGCATTTCTTTAGAGCTCAGTCTGAGTGGTTTATTGGTGGAAAATCAGGAGACAATCTTCAAAATGGCCAGTAAGCTGAAGAAGCTAGGCTGAGAGCATATATATCTTCCCATTTGAAAACATTGCCTGTTGCTTGCTATTACAGAGTACCTGGAAACACTGGTAAAAACCAAATTACATTAGTCCCATTGTGTTTTAGAAGCTCTTTTTTTCTGTGTAACATTAGGATGATGTCAGAGGCTGATTGTATGTTAGGTTGTTCCAGTAAGAACAATTAATGTAGGGGCAAAAGCCAGTGAGGACCCTGTCAGACACTGAACAATGTTTTTGGGTTTTATATACTGATTCATCAGTGTTTATAGGCCTCCAACATGTAAATCACCCTGAGGTAATCTGGAAGGGAAGGATATGAATAAGCCAATTAAATTGGCAAAGAGCCTAAGGAACACCCTGTTTAGGGATAAAATCACATGCCTGTCCTAGTGCCAGTAGTTTTGGAGAAAGAAGTAGAGTTAAAATCTTTGCAGTTAATTTCTTTGCAGAGAGAGCTGATTTAGAAGACTTTGGTCTTCTCCTTTTGTATGTGTGAGCTCAGGTGACTGAGATAAGGTAGTAAGTGTTGTGTTTTCTGCAAGTAACTTTTATTTTGATGACACAGAAGGATGTCATCAAAGTTGCAGAGGGTGTAGGAACTAGTTGCCTCATTTATGGTAATTATTTCGTATTCAGTTTTATGATATGAGCATTCAAAGGACTGAATTGTCCTTTATCTTTCCAAGTGCCTCCTCTTTTTTCTTTTTTTTTTTTTTAAGTGAGGCACAGTTTTCCATCAGGAAGCATCTCCACCTGACTTAGCAGTTACTAGCATACGTTAAGGTGCTCTATATCTAAATAATAACAAAACCAACTACTCTCTTCTTACCATCTGCCAGGCCTGTCCCTTCAAAGATGTGATGTAACAGGAAAAAGGGGCAGAGGTGAAGTAAACCTTTCATTGAAATGCAGATTAAAAAGTATTTCCATTCTTAGTTTACTTGTTTACAGTATAAATCGATTGGTTTTGAGTTTTTAAGAGGCTTGCTGCTTGCTAGAAGACTAACTTTGTATTTCTGCCATTCCACACAGGTTTTTGAATTCAATTCCAATCAGGAAAGTAGCTGGCTTTCTAGAAGAGACTTACTTATGCCTTGACTGAAGGAAATTCCCAGGCAGAACTCATGGCTGACACCAGACACTTTATGTGGGAGTGAATCATTATGGCTTCTCCAAGTGCCAGAGAAGCTATAATTGGCATTTATGTATTATTAAGCACCAGAGAATTTAACTGTAAACAGAAATCCATAGGAAATCAGGAGTCACCAGTTACATTGCTCAGAGAGCTACTATTTAAGAGCAGCTTTTGAGCATTTTTCTGGCACTGTTAAGAACAGGGGAGAGGTAACCTCACCTTTTTTCCTCCACCATCTTTGGAATACTAAAAGCATATTCCTGGTTGAAGGGAAGTAACTTTCTGAGACCAAAACCAGACAGAAAGCAATACAGACATGGGATCACTAGAGACACCACTATCAACCTTGGATTTGACAGCATCATGAGATCCTAGATACAAATGCACGGATGGGCAAAAGACCCAGATAAACATAGCTGTTAAGATGATTTCAATGCCTCTCACCTAAGTCCAGACACCTGATAGCTCAGCATGTAGCTCACACTGGTCTTCACATCCTATGGAGACAAAGAGGCACCTTTCAGGAACAATTTGTACCACTCCAAGATAGATGTTAAAGAGGTGTAATGAACTCTCTTTGTCTGTCTTTCTGCATTATGTGCTGAGAAGGCCTAGACGACCATCTGAGTTTTTTAGGCAGCAGATGTTCAGTGAGATGAATCCCAACCTTACTGTTCAGCTCCTACACAGTCTGAGCACGCATTGCTGGTAGCAGAACAAACTCCTGTTATTACATGAGGAGTAGAAATTTTGTACCAGTTGTTTAGTTCAAAGATCCCTTTTGTTTTGAACTGGAACTAGAGATTCACGCAGCCTCTTGGAGATGTCTATGGTTCTTATTCATTTTCAAGCAGTCAGGCACTGCTCAGAGCAGTGGAAAGAAAGAGAAATAGCTGCTTTCACTTCTCTTATTGGTGTATGGGCCCTTCAGAGAAACAGGAACCAAAGTAAGGTTAGGCTGGGTTTAAAGGAAGAAGACAACGTTTGGTAGAGGAAGGGAAAAAAGCATAAGCTGGCCATGTCTCTAACTTCAGTGTACATGAACTGTTGCCATGTCCTCAGGAAAACAAGGGATTTTGGAAATAGTCTAAAGCTGGGCCACATGAAATACAGAGCACATGACACAAGCCTGAGTCCCTCTGGCTCAATAGGCAGCGCTCTAGAATCGGTATGACCTTACTTCTGCCCTTGTTAGTCTGAAATATGTAGCACAGCTGTAGGACGTAGTTCATCATTTATCAAGGGTAAATACAGTTCTGGATGGGAATGTGGAGGTGAAAAGTGTTCTGCACAAGGCGTTTGCTCACGTGTTGTAACTTGCTGCTCAGAAAGAAATGGAATGCTTTGTCTTCTTGTAGCACTGATGAGCGACTCCTTATCATAACCTTGTAAGAGGTTTCAAGTGCATTCATGAATAGGAAGATGATTAAGATGACACATGAAGGTTTTCTGAAAACCTTTTCATATTCAGACACATTCTCATATTTGTGTTTGTTTTCATTCCAGACAAGATGTTTCTAATCTCCAGTGTGATTGGTAGACCACATCCTTTCACTCTTGGTTGCCTAGCTTGCTGTGAAACTTAAGATGAGCAGTAGGAAAGTGAGTTTACATGAGGGGCAGTCAGAGCTAAGGCAACTAATTGAGCTGAAAGGCCCTGCAATGCACTTTGCAAAGGAGGCCTCTATTGTTTTGAGCAGTTACTGTGACAAAACCCAAGGCTGAAAACTTGGCAACCTGACTAAAGGGTTTAGTGAGAAAGAAGCTAAATAGGGGACTTAAAAGATCTAATTTGTAGGGTAGAAAGAGGAAGATGTCTGTGTAGCTGGGCAACAGTTGAAAGTTCTGCTCTGAACACATCCATAAATCATCATGCCAGGTAGGGTATTTTCTCTTCTTTCAAGAGTTTCCCAGGATGGGAGTCTTCTCTGGCCACAGCTGCTTCTCTTCAACAGTCCATTAGAGCCCCAAGACTGGGTTCTGAGCAGGCTGTGTAGGAAGGAGGTAATACTTCTCTCTGTTACGTAGCTGAAGAGTTAGGTCTGTAGCCTGACTTTCTGTGATTCTGTGATGTGCCTTTTTTGAGGAGAGGACCCATATTAATTACCCTACATCTAAGGAAATCTAATTTCAGAGCACAAGGACACAGAGGAAAACGGAAGCCTGATTTTTCCAGTGTTCAAATGATTGTGTCAGTGCAGAGAGTGCCTCTGGGCCTTCTTGCCACCAGGGTTGATAATAGAGGGCAGAAAAACAACTGAGACCAGTGGCTTCAGTGACAGGCAGCAGAGGAATACAGATGTTATCTTTGGCACTAGGCTGAGGGGGCTGCAATAGACAGTGCAATGGCTGAAAGGTTTGCCCTGTGTTGTGTTGGGTCTAGGGCTGTAAATGAGTGCTGACCATACAGACTCAACAGCACAGGTTTCACCACGCTTACAAAGTGAAAAAGCTCTGGTGGTTCCCTCTTCTTCAAAGTGTTTTGCAAAGCCATGTTTGGAGTGTGAATGGTATGGACATGTCCAGTTCGGTGGAGGTAGAGGTAATAGGGGGGACAGGTTAAATTTAAATTGTAGCCTTGATTGTTCTTGATTTGACAGAGCAAAGAGAGAAATCCCAGAAGTCATGTATCTTGAGATCTACTCCAAGTCAGTTACAAAGAACACATGAAAAAAATAGGTATGCTTCTTGACATGGCTACTCTGACCCTCATGATGTACAGTCCTTCCTGTCTACTTTTCCAGCTTAGCCCCCTGGTTCTACCCCCTTAGCTCTGTAGCCCCAAGGACCAAAATAACACATGCTCCTTGCTGTCTGGTGCCCTCTGGTGCTGCAAATACCTGTCTGGGCTACATCCCATCACACCCTTATGCAGTTGAGGGAACCAGCCTATACTCCAATAGGACTCATGAACTGATATCTGCTTTTTCTGCATTACAGCCTGGCAGTGGAAAGGACACTCTAGTATGCCATGGAGCAAGTGGGACAGGCCTGGGAGGTCGGAAGAGCTAGTCCTAACTTCTCTAGTCCTGTTTCAGTCCTTGAAGGAGGAGAGTGCGAAGTGGACAGGGTCTCACTGGTCCCCCTTCCAAGTATATCTCCCTTGCTTTACTTCGCCCCTTATCTCTAGCTTTAGCCTCTAACTTCTGTCATCCATACTCTTTTATTACTGTTACCTTCATGTAATTGCCTGGTCTCAACTGCTCTTTCTTCCTTCTCCGAGGTACAGCTCTTCTTCCTCTTGGGAGCTATTACCACCACTCACAGTCTCTAATCCTGCACCTTACATTGCAGTGCCCATGGCTCAGTAATGTTTGGTGCTTACACATGCTCAGATCCATTGTTCAGAAAACAGGACTTCAGTACCTTTACTGTCATTCCTCTCCCCTCTAATTAATCAATGCTAATTGATTGACTGATGATGGCTCTCTGGTTTAGCAATATCCCAAGTCCAAGAAGCAGCCACATGGCTATCATTCCCACACATTTGACTGGTGCATATTAACCTCTAGAAATTAGTTGGAGCCTCTTCTAAATTAGTTTGTATGAATTGGCAGGGCTCATTTCACTGGACAAAAAGAAAACTGACAACAGAGGCAGATAGCAACAACAGGCTCACAGGTTGTACTCTTGGTTTTGGTCCAAGTAGTTTCTACCATCACAGGGAATGAGTGAACCACTGAGTGGTCACTTGGTGACACAAACTGCACACTGGTGGTAGATTCTTGCCTGCAAGCTGATGCTTGTGCCCTGTTCAGTTTAGTGCTCTCTTCCTAAGATGGTACAATGCTGTTCATGATGATGTTGTCTTAGTGCTGCACAAATAGTCAGTGTGGTAAACAGGGATCAATTTAGAGAGGCTGAGGCTGACCAGTCCGTGTTGGTCCCCAGCCTGCTCTTTCTCTGCATGAAACCCGAAGTGACCAAGCCCTTCTCATCTGCTCCAGTGCTTGCTCAAATCCCTCAGCTTTCTCTCATTTGGCCCTTTTTGTCCAGCCTTGTTACTGGACTTTCTGAGTTGTAGGCAGACGACAGTGCTTTTGTGCTGTTTGTGCAGCTGGGAGTAACCGATGTAAGGAAGAACTAAGCTTCACCTACTGTGTGGGCTGAGACACATTGAGTTCTTGATTGCAATCTGATTAGCTCCAGGAGTCCATTTGGTGTGGACCTTCATGGCAGATTCATGACCTGAGGACCATCAGCCTAATAAATTTCAATTCTCTGCCACAAGGAGCACTTATAGGAAGAAATACACAACATTTTTTCTCTTGGGTTTGTTTGTTTGTTTATTTTGAGACATCTCTCCAGGAAACAGCTGAACTGGTTAAACAGAAAGTTAAGATATCTGCCCCAAACTCAACCAAACCAAATCAACCCCCTAAACTCAACAAACAGGTAATGAACTGTTGGCAGGCACTGAGCTTGGAACATGTGAGCTGGAACTGATAAGGATTGGCAGAGATGTAAGGAAACAGAAAATGAGACCTTATAAAGAGAAGTTGGGCAATCTTCAAAAAAGTGGTGCTACCAGTCCTGTCAATGAATACTTAGATATGGCCCTTCCAGATTGCAGGTCCTTTGATGCAATACTCACTGATGAGTCATTTGGAAGATCACTAATTGAAGGATAGAAAATGGCCTGCTACAGCCCACAGCCATTATGAGCTGCACATTTTTTAAGGGATGTTTGTTGCAATCCCCTTTATTTTCTGCAGATGGGGTGTGGCTCTCCCATTCCTGGCAAAGTGGCTGGTGTGGCCTTTGGTTGGGAAAATATGGGTCCTGTTGCATGACAAGCTGAACTTCCCCTACAGGGGAAGTCACCTTCTTACTTCCTAGTACATCATCAGGGGTGTGACAATTCCCTGAAGCACAACGGAACCACACAGAAATCTGGCAGCTTTATTCAGTTTGTGAATATGAATCTACCTCATAAAAACATCTGAATCACATTTCAAACTACCTACCTAGCTGCATAAACACTACCCCATCCTGTTCTTAGGATTTGAGCCTTATATTCTCAGACTATGCCTCCTTTTCCTTTTTTCACCAGAGCTCTTATGACTGTTGCTCCTTGCATAATTATTTGGACTTTCATGAAAGCTGCTGTTTCTGCCTGTAATCAAAAGTGACACTGTCACTCTTTGTTCATGTTAAATACAGGCACCCAGAGTTTTTTGGCTGCCATGCATTAGAGAACTCATTCTTCATGTGGAATGGGAGGGGCATCACATTGAGCCTCACGGATGACAGAGCATGGATAAGCAGCAATCCTTCAGCTGTGTCTGTGGTGCATAAGACAACCCTTACACCTCCTTAACTTCTTCCTGCCTTTCCACCACTCTGCCTTTCCAGAGGCCACTCACTTTGCCAGTTGAGGACTGCCTGGTCAGCTCTGCTGGAAGTCTGGGGTCACAGAGCAGGAGACAGGCTGTAGCACTGTGCTGCAAGTATGGGAAGCGTGGACTTAGTTTTGTGGAGGCTGTAAGTAGGAAACAGTTTGGTGAGTATTTTCACAGACACTGTACCCAGTCTGGTAGGCAGAAGCTGAAATGTAGCATCTGTGCTTATAGTAAGATGGAGGTTGCTTTGCTTGGCCAAACTTATTAAGTCTGGTACCCTGCTTCAATCATTGAACACTGGCTGCTAGAGGAGATACAAGAAATGCTGTAGTAAAACTATTCCAGTCCATGCCCTACATGATTCCTCTCACTTAGCTGAAACATTTGTGAGCAAAGAATGATACCCTTCTCATCCTGTTCATTCAGAAATATATGACAAACCCTATTGTTATCAAAGGTGCAGGTTCAATCCTGTCATTATCTCACACACTGTGCAGTAAATATTGTGACTAAGAGTTAACAGTGTGTCAGCAATGATCATCTGTAAGTCCTGTTGGGATGCTTTGTGTGAACTCAGCCAGGTTGTCAGCCGCCTTCTTCAATGACAATGCAGCAACTACCCTGAATAATCATTTTTTGTCACTGTATAATACAGGTGAAAAATACAGGTGAATAATATTTTACACACACAGATATGTAACTGATTATATTACAAAGAACTGCAAGAACAAGACACTTATTTTTCACTTCTAGGAATTTGAATGAGGAGATCTCATTACCCAGAATCAGAATGTGTCTGGCTTGGCGAATACAATGACAAATGGATTCTTCAAATCCCTAATCCACAAGCATTTCAGAGAGAGAGATGGTTCAGCAGCACAAGAAAGATGTACTTTTCCTGGAAGTCTCCTGACTCAACTCCTATCCTGTACCTGGCAGTGATTCAGTAGCATGGCAGTTATAATTGATCAAAAACATACCTCTGTTAGCAAACAGGAGGAAGCTGGGCAGCAGCACCAGGATGGCCTTGGACTCTATGAGTGCCAAGGTGGGTGGTCACACCTGGTCAGGGCTGTGAGACTGGTGATTCAGGCAAGGTGGTCAGGCTTGCAGAGGGAAAATCTGAATTGTCTGACACTGTGTGGTGATAAGAAAGGAGGATGGACAAGGAGGATGATAAGCTTGATGGGCACTTAACAGGGCAAAAATGAGAGAAAACAGTGCTTCACTTCTATTTCTCTAATTGGTGCTTTGCTTACCTTTTCCTTTAGACTGAATACTTTGTATAAGAGAAAGCACCAACTGCAGCACTGAAACATAGTGTGTTTATGCTGTGTTAGTTACTGTTACAGGCATTGTGTAATATGGTTGGAGAGAAGATGGATTATCAGCAGGTAGCCAGCAACCCGGGGAGAGTTTCTTGAGCTTTGTGTGCTTCCATATGCGTCTCCTCAACTCCAACCCGTTTTGCTGGGGCTTTGAAAAAAAAGCTTGACTGTGCTCAATTTATGAAAGAGATAGTGACATCAGGACAAAAATACTTGATCTGTGTAATTCCTGAAGTTGGGGATTACTTACAGGATATGGCTAGGGCATCGATAAAAATTCTAACAAACAAGTGTAAAACTTTTATCACAAGTCTGTCATTAGGAACCCATGGAACTGCTTGTACTTTCAAAAGTGTGGACCGACTCACAATTTCAGCTGCTTTCTTCTTCCTGCTTTTATTTTGTGAATGGAATAGAGCTATGTTGTTCTGGCTTTGTGGAAATGTTTCTACTTGCCTGAATTGGTAATCATAGAATTATAGAATATCCTGAGTGAGAAACGGATCCACAAGCATCACAGAATAGAATATCCTGTTTTGGGAGCGGCCCATGAGGATCATTGAAGTCCAGCTCCTGGCCCTGCAGAGGACCGCCCCAAAAATCACATCATGTGCCTGAGAGAATTGTCAAAATGCTTCCTGAATTCTGTCAGGCTTGGTGCTGTGATACTTCCCTGAGGAGCCTGTTCCAGTGCCCAATCACTCTGCTGAAGGACTTTTTCCTAATAACTAACCTAAACCTCTCCTGACACAGCTTCATGCCATTCCTTTGGGTCATGTCACTGGTTACCAGAGAGAAGAATATGCATAAGAGACTAGTAGGATGAGTCAACTACTTTCTCAGTCTTTTATTTGAAGTTATTTTAAATGATCAAATCTCTGCAAATGGATAAACCATCAAAATACAATTAAATGGGAATGAAAATTTTCTGTTAAATGCCTCCTCTCTCGCCACTCCAACCTCCTGATTTGAGGTTCTTTCCTATCAGTCAGATCCCTGCACCAATCAGTTTGTGGTCACATCCCTCCTATCTCTGAGTGCCTCATTGGGAGAGAATAATCTGCCCAAGTTATCCTAAAGAGAGATTATGGTTTCACTGATTAAACTCCTTGGGGTAGTGATGTGTCCACCAAAGCTTATGACTACAATTGATGATTAGTTTCAAGCATAGTCCCAATGGCAAAAAAGGCTCCTCCTGCCAAATTTGGTTAGTTTTCACAGCTGAAACGTTTGTTGATGACTTGTGTGTGTGAATAGGTCTTGTTGGTGAGCTATCTTCTCAAACATCTTGGTTACATTTGTCTTATTGCCAACTTCTGTTGACAGCCTTTTGGAGGAAGGAGAGGATGTCATGAACGCAAAGTATGTCTTCATTTCTTAGGTCTTTTTCTTTTTCCCAGCACATGGATCTAAAATGACCCCACTGTCTCGTTGCTGTAACTTAATTGCATAGATCAGTTCACATTAATTTTCTGACCCTAAATGTAGCTTTTTTCCCCTGTCTGTACTTTGTAGAGATTTGGGCTTCGGGGAGCTCCTTCCCTACTGCTGGAAAAATCGACTTATGTTCACTAAGTTCAAAAGAGGACCTTGGCTTCCAGCCAGATGTGCTGATCTGTGGGGCATGTCTGGCTGTATGAGGCATGACCACTGAGAAGAGGATGTCACCTATGGGCCTGTGTTTGGAAAAGAGTTGTAGGAATGCTACCAACAAGCAGCTCTTGGGGCCAGCCATGTCTGTGCAGTGCTCTTGGGTGTATGTCCACTCTCTCTTAAGCAACTGAGTGAGCTCTGAGAAAGACAGATGGGTGTTGTGCTGCGTACCTCACTTCCCAGACATTGCCCTGTCTGAAATCCCACAGCTTCTGTGGACTTTCCTTTCAGCAAACTGTTGCTTTGTCTGAATAAGCAGCAACAGCATCTAAAGAAGCAATAGATTTTGAGACAACTGGAGCAATCATTCTTTGATCCCTGGCAAACCCCAGTGGCTTTATTATTATCCAGTGAAAGGAGCTGATATAAATGAGTTTTCAGGAGTAGGGAACCCAAAAGAGTTCAGGCTGGAGGAAGATTAGAGTGAAGGGTGAGAGGGTGCACCCTGCTCCCAGGGTAATGAGGTCAGTCGTGAGCAAACCACAGGGTCCTCTCAGAGCCCACCACTTTACAGGACTCACATGCATTTTGTAGGAGCAGGCAGGAATGTTTCTTTCCATAGACCTCTGTCCCCTCCTTGGAAGCTGATCAAACACTTTTAATAAAAACCACCATTTGACTTCTAATGTTTTTGTACTGATTAAGAACATTGACTTGGCTGACTGAACAAGGGAACCAATTGTGGCTCAGCTGCTTTATGTTGGAAAAGCTTTGATCGGACTGAGTGGGAGTTTAAGGTACTCTATAAAATGAATTTTGGTGATAAGCTTATAAACTGAATTTGAACCTTGCACAGGCTCCAGAGGGAAGGAATAAACAGCTCAATTTGTATTCTCTAAAGATACACACCAAGCTTTCCCTTTAACCTTTGGGTTTATTACCTTAGGGGTCAAACTGTTTCTTAAACTGTTTGAAATTATTTGTCCAGATTAGCTGTCCATGCTGAAGATGGAGGGCTTTGAGGATAGTTCCCAAGAGCCCTGAAGCCAACTATAATGAATGAGTTTGATGTTTTACTCAGAGGAAAAAAGCTGAATGAGTTATAGGGCTGATAAATAGCCCCAGTTCATTCACACAAAGTTAAGGACAAAGTGCTTATCTTAATCCCTACATGATATTGTTAGAATGGTTTATTTCAAGGGCATTCCTGTCGGAGATCTTCCCTCCCTCATTACTTATCAGTCTCTATAGTTATATACAGGCAATTAGAAGACATGAGTATTGGACAGGAAACTCCGGAGACCATGTAGGATTCATCTCAACTTTCTGCTGAAGCTGTGACCTAACTTGCAGGGGAGCAAGTGGAAGCAAGCTCAGATAGTCATCCTGTGAAATCCTCTGTTCCAATAAATCTGAGGAGGGTGTACGTGCGTAGGCATCAGTTAGAAGAATCTGATAACTGGTCAAAAAATTATTCATCACCAGTGGTGTGTGCAGCACAGATCTTTGCACAGCCCTTATGGAGAGTCCAAAGGTGCTGCAAACCCAGGGACAAAGGATTTGCACATCTCAGCAGTGGTGTGGTCTTTGCCCAGAAGAGATTTTCTTTAGAAGGCGAGGTTGTGATCTGTCTGAACAGATGTCTAAATATTTTATCAGACAAGTTATACCACTGATGTATAAGTCTCAAAACTGTAGGAAAAGTGACTATTGTTTGCATTTTTTCAAGGTGGAGGGTGGAAATGAAAAACCTGAAGTCTGGCTCTGTGATGGCCTTCTGCATACCTGTGGGCAAGTCACTCCCACTGTCACGCTGCTCCGGAAGTCTCCCCATGTCTACTCCAAGAGGTAATTGCTAAGAAACAGTAGCACTCTGAGCTTCTACAGTCATTCCTCCTTCCCAGCTTCAAACCAAATCCACTTTATGATAATAAATGGAATATTTTTTTAAACCTAGAACTACAGTTTGTGCCCTAAGTATGTGCATCTCTCTCTTCATCCCTCCTAATGACTTCTACCCCGATACCTAACTTCAGGTAAGTGTAGAGGCCTCAATGTTGTCAAAGTTACACTAAATTTCCATAAAATTGGGAGAGCAAATAATTCAAATTCGCTTCTACTGAGAGAGAAGTCTTACCAGATATCAGAGGGGAAAGGGAAAGAGGGAGAAAGAGAAAGACATAAGAAACAAGTCTTCATTTGCTCATTCTGTTGTACACACTCATTTTGGGTTTTTGTTTTCTCATGACTCATCATTCTCTAAACCTTACTTGGGATTTGAAGTGTAAATTAGTATATTAGCAATGAAAAATTCATCCCATTAGCCCATAGTTGCTCTTGGCAGTGTATCTGGAAAGGCCTAATGCTCACCTGGTATTGACTCTCCACCCATGGCAGAGGTAGAATTTAAGTAGCAGGGACACTGAACATGCCAAGAGAACAAGTCTGCTAGGAGGTGGAGCAGGTCCATTCATCAACCAGTTTCACCATATGCTAAGAGAATGCAATAATATACGTCTAAATTGGAGACAAATTGCAAAAAACTTATTTGTGAACTAGGGCCCCATTTCTTGGAGTAAATGTCTTCTGCCTCCACTACCTTTACCTGTGTAGAAATAACTATGGGAAAAAGCATCACAAACCACCAGTTTCTGCAAGTCTTTTGAGGGCCTTTCTTCACATACTCCCATTCAGGAATCATAGACTCCCTGAACACTTGGTTTCCAACAGAATAGCTTTACTCTCAGCCTACTCTCTTCATCACACATTATTTTATTCATCTGCTGTAAAATAGCAAGACTTAATTGGCAATCTGGCTCTGGTTTATTAATATCTCCTTGTGCATGGAAAGAGACCTTGAATTCTATGTACTGATTCTCAATCAACGTCAGCTTGATATTAACTCAATGTTATTACATTATTGATTTTATTCATCCCAAGAGCTACATCAGTTTATCATGGAATCTACACTTCTTTAACAACCAACACAAATCAAGATCATTTTTTAGGCTTGCAATGTAGACTAGAAGGTTTTTGGAATCTGATCTCATTTTTCTTTACATTTGTTTAGATTTCCAGTTAATCTGAATTCCTATCTTGCCCCTTTGAACTCACAACCAATTGTAAATACTTCTGATAAATCTCCATGCTAAAAACTGTATTGCGACATAGTTCTTAAAAAAATAAAAAGGAAAGAAAACCAACTGCAAAATAACCTGTCCCTATGATGTGCTGATGTAACTGGTTCAGGGAAACAAATGGTCAGGTTCTTTAGGTTACACAGTGGCCGATGTAAATTATAAAATCTGTAACCTCAGTCATGCATTTGGTTCTGCTATACAGTATAACCATTTGCAGTTTTAACTCATGTCTTGAAGACCTGTAGCAAATAAAACATAGCAATGTCTGTTCCCATTGCATTTTACTGGCTAACTTATTTGGAACAGATGAAGAGATTCAGGGAAAGTTCATTACCTGCTTCTGCATTTGTTCAGTCTTCCTATCTGGCTGGACTCTGTGATGGCCGGAGAGATACTGAAAAGATGATGTCAGAAGAGTGGGAAGTGAAAGCTGAAAGGAATTTTAATTGGATACTTTGAACTGTTGATTTAAAAAAAAAAAAAAGAGTTAATGACTACATAGCTGAAATGCTGGTTTTCATTTGGGAAAAAGGATGTGGGACACTGGAGAAGCCACAGTACTGATTGGTGTTAACAGAGGTACTTTTCACAGGGCTAAAGCACCTTTACTATCTTCTTTACTACTACACCACCGCTGGTTGGAGTGCAAGGGACAGGTGTAAACTTTGTTATGCCGTATGGTAATTTTATCACACTGCTGTGTGTTGGTCCTGTTCTTGTGTCTGTTACCTGAGTATAGTAAACTCAGAACATACTATTGCTTAGTAGTAAGAGGATAGAGACCAGTCAGAAACACAAAGATGGACTCTAATTAAAATAAAAGGGCCATTTCAGCTGCATTTAACTTAAAGTGCATAAGTAAGCTAGAAAAAAGAGGATTGCAAAATCTGTGTGTTCATGGCATTGCCAACCTTCAGTGTTACCTAGCACAGTTGGGATTACATCATCAGAATAAACTTTCATCAGTTCATCATGGTTTGGTTATGTGACACAATTCCAAACTCAGAATGGAAGTGATGCTTTCATGTAAATTTGTCCCTTTCAGAGTATTGCAAACGCTGTCAGAAACTCCATCCTGCCATAGCTTGCCATGAAGTGCCTGGGCAGAGAAAGCCACACCTCCCAAAAATATCAAATAAAAAAATTTGGAGTTAGACGATTTGTACAGACTTTCTCTTTGAAGTCACCAAAGCAGGACTTTCTTGGGCACATTGCTGAGAAGAGTTTCAGGAACATATAATACCAGTAGTTTCCACATCAATATCCTAGTTTGGGTCTCAGCATTTCACATGGTGGAGAAAGGTGGATACCTAGGTACCTGAGTGTTTGTGAGGTTTGAAATAGATGCAAGAGACAGGGAAGAGAAGACCAAGAACTTCCTTTGGATAGCCTGGGTAGACAAATGGGAGTTTTATGCTTTTACTACTCTGATAGCACAGCCAGCTTGCATCAGAAGCCTTTATGTGTTCACTGTTTGCCTAGTGGTAGCTGTGATGCTCAGTGGGTTGTAGCAAGATGTTACAACTCTTCTCAGGCTGAGCTGTACAGCGGAAACTCTCCTCCAGGTCAGACCTGGCATCACCAAAAGGCCAAAGAAGGCACAAACCAGAACAGCTCTGTGGCATGAGAGGCAGCAGGAAGAAACAGAGCAGCTGAAAGGCATGATCTGCTCCTGCCATTATGTGCTTTGCCAGCCAGAGGTTGAGTGAGAAGCTGCTGTGGAGCTGTGGCAAAGGGCTCAGCACTATTCCGTAGAGACTGGCCCATGCATGGGATTTGACAAGAGTTGAGATGGTACCTCAGCTGCTGTTTCAAGGGGCGTGGAGGGGAGGCAATTTACTCAAGTGTTCCCTCATCACTGACCAGGTGCACGGGTAAGCAGGTTGTGTCCTTTGCCAGCTTCTCAGACCAAGCCACAGGAAGCCCTAAGGGCTTTTATAAACCCACGCTGCAATTCCATGGATGCTGGGCAAGAGCAGGCAGGTGACCACTATCAGATTAGCCACTGACTTTGTGCTGCCTTTACACCGCTCTTGGGAGGATGTGATGCAGCAGAGAGGGCAGAGCAGCAAGAGCCTCATCAAGCACCCAGCACGCTTGTACAAGGCTAACCCACTAATGATTTTAAACAAGCATGAGTAGCAAAAGCTGATTTATCAAAGCTTTGCAACATGTGGCATTTGGCTTGGCACTAGGCACCCTAATGCTGGCTTCAACATGTTGCTGGATCACAGCTCTGGTCTGTGGCTTTGCCACGGTGTTTGGATGGGTTGGTAGAGGTACTTGGCTGTGCTGGGGAGGTTTTGGCTTGTTCACCTTTGCTGCCAATGCTGCAGCAGCATATAGGCTCCAGCTGCTGTGGCTACAAATCACTGAGCCCCCAGGCCAAGCCCTAGGGCTCCTCAGAGGGGTATGACTTGCAGCAGCTGTACTATGCCACCTTGAACATTAAAGTATCTTCATTTGTTGCTCGAACTCCCTTGTTTTCCTTTCACTTGCTCTGCACAACTTACTGCCATCTCAGGAGTCCATCTCAGCAAAGGTCACCCAAGTCATGTTTTCACACACAGAGAAAACTTTTCTCACCCTGCTTTGTAACCATGGTGATTTGTTTTCTTTTAAATTCCTTTCCCTTAGGTTCAATGCTATCTTTAGATGTCATCCTATTTGATAAATGTCCATGTAGTTCCTGATACTATGAGGGAACTATGGCATGACAAGGACTGGCTTAAGTAACAGCTGCATAACTCTGTCAGGAATTAATGATGTGGCCCATGCCCTTTTTGGAAACACTCCAATTTTCAGTCATTCCTGCTCTGACACAGCATCCGACAGGCAGTCGTGGCCTGGCTTGATCAGGTTTCGGTTTTTCTTGTTGCCCTGACCCTCTGCAAGTATCTCATCACTGCAGAGTTTTGCTCACTTTCTGGGATTTACAGTCTGAGAGACTGGAGAGTTGGGATGTACAAAGCTGGCAGGGCAGGGAAATGGGCACCGAAGATGGAAATGGTTAACCCTGCTGGGATCTGGGCTCTCAACCTGGCGAAGACCCAATGACATGCCTTGGGGCTGGAGCATGGGCCTAGAAATGCTTTTCTTGCCTCACAGGATGGGCCAGTTTTGTTCTGGATGCTGGTAAGCAGAGGATATGGAGTTTGAGGGTGAGTGGTATACAGTCTCCTGAAATTTCGTAACTGGCACATAGTTTATGTATCTTTATTCTTTAAAGAATAATTACTTCCTCTCTTTTGTGCTAATATTAAGCACAACTTGGTAAATATAAAATCTAAAGAGTTTTGTTGTCTTTATTATTCAAAGAGAACTTTAGATTTGCAGTACTGAAGCAACATAAATATTTTCTTTTGCTTCTTGCAATATTTTGTAATAAAACACTGATGCTCTGGATATAGTTGCTTGTCTCTTTGTAGATGCATATTTACCAGAGCTAAGTAACATAGTGCCTTTGCTCATATAAATGTCACAGTTTTCCTGAATGGTTTTCCCTCTGCAACATGGATGTGAGCAGGAGACACACCAATTCTCAGGCCTCCTGTCTTGCCTGGATGAGGCTGTCATGAGGACCTGTGAAATACAGCAAATGTCCCCCCAGAGAGATGTTTTGCCAGCTAGAGGAGGTTCACAGGGCAGCGAAGGGGCTGTGAGCTTCTCTTCTGACATCTCTGGCTGTTTAAGCAACCTATGCTTAAGAGGGCTCAGAAGGCTTACCATTCAAGCTCATATTTCAGAGTCATCAAATGAAAATATTATTGAATATCTGGCCTAAATTATAGACCATACAGTCTGACATCACCTTCGGCTAAATTGTAAAATGACATTTCCGTCCTATAATGGACTGTATAAACCTCAGCTTAAAAAGGTGAACAAAATTGTCCCATCATTATCCAACTGATTTAATGCCAGTGTGCATTCAGAGGCACAGAGGTGATCTTTAGCATTGCATGTGAACTTTATGTTTCTTTAATTAACTGCATCATACTGCATGTTGGCAAGAAGCCGTAATGATACTTCATCCTTCCCTTGACTGAACAGCAGAAAGTCGCAGTGCTAATACTGTCAAGAGATAGACTAGGTCTTGATTTAAGAACTACTTTAAATACCACAAAACAAAAGCCCTTTTAATGGTTCAATATATACTCAAAATGCTTCTGCCATAATGAGTTCCTTAGTATAAATGCTTGGTACCAAAATAATTCTATAACTGGGTCATATATAGCTCTACAAACAGCTATCTAAATAGCTACAAGCCTTGAGCATTGTGCAGGTGGTTGTAGGTAGGACCTGTAAAGTATGATGAAGTTAGGTCAATTGTGTTTACTTATGAGAAGATGCTTGTCTTTGCCTAAGACAACATTGAGGGTTCAGGATATGTCAGGCTTCCTCTCCAGGGATTGCCCACATAATGATTCTCAGCTTTTTTCTGTCTGGCACTGTTTGGAACATGCCTGGGTGCAGCTCCTTGCCCAGTCCCAGCCCTCCTTCTGCCTCATTTTTACTGCCTTTCACTCAACCCCAGGAGCCCTGCTACTCTCTGCCTGTGTTGACTTGATGCTGGATTGGGTCCAGGATCCCAATCTGGCCTTGAGCCCTTGGGCATCTGTGGAGGCAATTCCCTGGTCTCCAGCAAGGTGCTGAAGCAGCTTAGGCTGGCACACCTTTGTGCCTCACTCCCTGCTTACATCTCAGGACATAAGATGGAGATGTAACCCACATTTCAGGAGATGAATACTTCTGGTCTGCCCTTAAGTAATGGGTGTTAGGCAAAGGTGGTATGGTGGCAGTGTAGCTGAGGGCTCCAAAAGCTGTGTAGTGGTCACTGGTTTTGAAAGTTGATTTCCTTCAATGTAAGATAAAAAGGATCTCCGTTGATGGAGTTGCTGAGTTCTTATCCTGTTTTGAGCCAAGTGGCTCCATGGACTGGGAAGCATGATCTTTTTTGTCACTCTGAGCTAGCACAGCTATACAAGCTGTTGCATTTTCTGAGCTGAATCCAACAGGTCTGCTTCCACGTCTTGTCCTCCTGCTCCTTCCCCTTATGCAGGCCCATGCTCAAGGTGATGTGCAGGATTCAGCACCCTACATGTTCCCTTTCATAGGAAGCCAGTACCAGAAAGTCCCCTGCCTGCCACCCCTGCCTCTGGCAGCTCATTTCCTGTGCCAAGTTCTAGGCTGATGCCACAGGGACAACCATCACCAGCCGAGGGCATGGGAGTGGACTCTCTCACCCTCCGAGAAAATTTGTAGGTAACTCCACCCTTGGCCCATCTTCTCTGCCCAGCATTTAGAGCAGCTTCATATGTTTGCTTTTGTTTTGGGTTTAAATATGTGCTTAGCTATCTCTCGGAGCTATCTCAAATGCAGGGGTGTGGTTAGGCTGCCTAATTTAACCCAGCCTGTGACATCCACAGGTGGATAACCTGTCTCCATAAGGCTCTTTTATCTCCTTCATTTAGGTTGGTTTAATAGCTGATCATTTAAATTCCTTATCACCACTCTTCTTTAAACTTAATGAGATGTAGTCTTAAATTTGCTGACAATTGAGACAAAGGAAGTAAACCCTCTCAGAAACAGAAAAGGCTCCTGCAGAAGTCTGTGATGCTTGAGAGCCAGTCTTTCAGAACACTGCTTCAATTGTCTTCCCAGGAAGGATCTGGTTGCATACTGGGTCACACTTTTATGAAAGGAGAAGAAATGTCAGGATGTTCTGGGTGCTCATGTGAGGGCCCAGTTCCTCCCCAGACTATCATCACACATACTCCCTTTGTCATTTCCTGTCCTGGGGTCCTGCAAAACTCAACTGCCAGGCACAGTGCCTGCCACACCAGTCATATCCTTCACACGTCAACGGAAACCCTCAGGCACCAAACTTGAGAAGCTGCATCCTCAACCCACTGGAGTCACTAGAAGAGCAGAAGTCTTTGGCTTTCACAGGGCTAGGGCTTCAGCCTAACCATCACTCTATTTGAAAAGCTACAGGCAAAAAACACCCACAAGGATCCACAACATTGGTCTCTACCAATATGCTCCAATTTTAATGTATTTGCATGTAATCTTCTCAGTGAGGGTTTTCCCACTAAACTCTTGTTCTAACATGATGAGGAATGTTTAAGCCAGCAAAATGGAAAACACGGCAGGGAGATACGAATGCCTAAATGGAAACAAAGAGGGCAACCGTGGTTACCTTTTTCTCCACCCTGCTTTTCCTCCTGCTGGCCCCATCACCATGGGTTTTGGCTTCCAGCATTGCTCCATGGTGGTCCTAAATGGAGGACTTGTCGCATGTGTGACAAGTGTGCAGCAGCATCCTGATCCTCATACTTGTGCTTTCTTGTTGTACATGGTGATGTACTACATGTCAGACACCAACTCATCAAGTCTGCATGGAGCTTGTGTTCAAATCACCAAGTGAGTGCCCCAGGGGTATTTTTTAATTCAGAGCAAGGTGGATCTCCATGTCACTACAAAGGGGGATTCCATTCAAGAGTGTTGCTTGCTGCCAGGGATTTGTGAAGTGCAAGCGGAGTGATATATCGTTTCCTGGGGAGACGTGTTGTCTGTTGGGAGGGTAATTACAGTGCTGTCATTTTTGATAGCATGGGACAATATGCCACTGAAAGAGTGTTTTTCAGTCCTCAAGAAGGTGGTATTTCCTCGTCTTAGTCTTTTATGTTTTTAATCCTCTGTGAGACAGATAAGTGCTATTACCAACTACTCATGGGGTGAGGTCATAGAGGACATGAAAAGTGAGAAACTGATCTCTAGGCTAATGGCATAAACATGGGTCTAACAATCCCCCTTCAGTATTGGACTCCTTCTTGGTAAGAGGGAAGGAGATGGGCATCCTTTCTCTAGTGCAGTCAATCCCACCAAGCCGATGGCATGACATCCTCATAGGTGAACCCAGGAGGTGCAGACTGGATGAGTGGACAGTGAGGTGGATTAAGAACTGTCTGAAGAGCAGATCCCAGAGAGTCATGATCAGTGACACAGATTCTAGCTGGAGGCCTGTCATTAGTGGTGTCCCTCAAGGTTCAGTACTGGGCCCACTATTGTTTAACTTATTCATCAATGACTTGGATGAAGAGATAGATACTTCTTCAGCAAGTTCACTAAGCTGGGAGGAGTGGCCGATATGCCAGAAGGTTGTGCAGCCCTTCATAGGGACCTTGACAGGTTGGAGAGATGGGCAGAGAAGAACATTCTGAAATTCAAAAAAGGCAAGTGCAGGGTCCTGCACCTGGGAAAGAATAACTCCATGCACCAGTACAGGCTGGGGTCTGACCTGCTCTCTGGAAAGCAGCTCTGTGGAGAAGGACCTGGGGGTCCTGGTGGACAACAAGCTGTCCATGAGCCAGCAGTATGCTCTTGTGGCCAAGAAGGCCGAAGGTATCCTGGGGTCCATCAGGAAGAGCATTGCCAGCAGATTGAGAGAGGTGATCCTGCCCCTCTGCTCAGCCCTAGTGAGGACACATCTGGAGTGCTGTGTCCAGCTCTGGGCTCCTCAGTACAAGAGAGACACGGAGCTCCTGGAGTGGGTCCAGCAGAGGGCAACAAAGATGATTAAGGGACTGGAGCATCTCTCTTATGAGGAAAGGCTGAGGGAACTGGGCGCCTTTAAGAAGAGACAATGACCTTATCAATGCCTGTAAGTATCTGAAGGGAGGGTGCCAAGAGGATCAACCCAGGCTCTTCTCAGTGGTGGATTAGAGGGAGCAACTGATGCATAGGAAGTTCCACCTGAGTATGCAGAACTTCTTTACTGGAACTGACTGCGCACTGGAACAGGTTGCCCATAGAGGTTGTGGAGTCTCCCTCACTGGAGGTACTCAAGAACCATCTGGATGCAATTCTATGCAATGTGCTCTAGGATGACCCTGCTTGAACAGGGAGGTGGGACCAGATCACCCACTGTGGTCACTTCCGTCCTTACCTATTCTGTGATTCAGTGATTCAGTGATTCAGTGATTCAGTGATTCTGTGATTCTGTGAATGGCAGCTGCCCACACTTCTTTCCATCTATGTTGTTTTCCTAAGGGTATATTCAGTTCACTCCTGAGGAACAAGGACCCTGACCACATGATGTCAGTTCATAGCAGGCAGTTGTATTGTGGGTCCTTTATGAGGTTCAGATCCTCTGCAATGTGCTCCATGAGCACAAGTGCTTCTGAGGGCCCACTATGAATACCTGTCCTTACTCACAGGGTTGCGAAGTCTCTGCAATACTTTCCAGCTGTGTGTCAAGTCTGGTCTGGAGAAGTCAGCTTTAGGTGGGAATAGACTTCAAGAACCAGCTGCACACAGATATACTTATTAATGCTTTTTTCCCCCAGATACAGACCTGTCCAAGATGGACTAAACACAGACCACCAGCAATACAGACTGTCCCTTCATTATATCAATTTTTTTTTCAGAAGTTCTTAATTTTGGATGTATTTCAACTAGTGACCTTGACTGGAAAAGTACCAGATCCCATGTAGTGTATCTTGGGGATACCCTGTCTCATTAATAAGTACCTTCATTTCAGAGTATTGTCTATTTATTTTAGAAGGTTTACCTCCCCTCCCTGAAAAAACAGAGATGAATTGGGATAAATACAGACAGGAAATGGTTTCCCTGGCAACACTAAGAATGCATAAGAACAACTTCATCATTTACTTTTATTCCTTAGATACACTTTTAAAAGAAGTTTGAACTACATTAAAAGACATCTCCTGTTCACAGCACAGCACCCAAGTCAGCAGAAATAATCAGCCCTGATTTTACTTTCAGTGAGATGGGATCTAAGTCCCTTTAAAAAACAGGGATGTAAGGTCTTAGTTTCCAGGGAATGAAAGCTGAGTCAAAAGAGGAGTTCATTCAGATTCAATGCTGGTCAAAAAAAAGCCGCTTTATGCAACATTCAGCTTTGCTGAAGTGGAACTCACACTAACAAACTTCCAGTGTATCCTGCTCAGAGTCTTAGGTTTTGGTGAAGCCTGGGTCGGATTGTAAGCAAAATCTAATCTAGTTGTGTGAGTGCTGAAAAGGAAATCTGTGAAACTATTTCTGAGAGGTTATTAGTGGAGGCATCAAAGTGTGATGCGATGTAATTTCTACTCCTGTCACGCTGCACTAACACATCCCCCCCTCCCTCTTGATCTGCTTGCCATTCCTGCCAGCCTCCTCTCATGCTGCAAGGTGCAGGAGAGACATTTCAGCAACTTGGATGACTTTACTTCCCATCTGGAATGGAGTGTCCAGCCTCAGAAGCCAGGGGAGACCTCACTGGGCACATCCTTTTCCCCAGGCTGGTCTATGATCTGTGGGTGGAGGAGTTATTCCTGAGGGAAAGCCGTTCAGAAAGCAGGGTTTCAGGCTTAGACCTGACAGATTTCTACTTCCAGGGTGGGCAAGATCTCCCCTTTCTCCTTATTAAAGAGAGATCAGTTGGCCCAGCAAAGGTCATGGCACCCCAAGGACCTGGTGTTCAACTAGCTTCCTGGTCTCATGTCCTTTCTGGGTTCACTGCTTCCCAGACAAAATCCTCTGTACTGTATGTAAGGCACATTTTCTTGGTTCTGATCTGCCTAAACAGCATTAGATTTGTCTTCAGTAAGTGCTGGGAATTAATCCACAAGCACAGATAACAAGCTGTGTTTCTGCTGAACATGTTATTGATGCTACGGAAAGAGCACCCATTGCTGATGACATCTGCAGATAATAACAGAGAATGTTTGATATCAGGTCATAGGAAGATCAGTGGTTTAGCTGGGTGCACACTAACAACATGTGCTTCAACATATGTCTGATGTGAAGTCACAGATCCTACAAACAGAATCGGCAGATCAATGAGAAGGTCTCCAAGGCCTCTGGCTGAGAGGACAGCTGGTCACTGCTTACCTTTGCCTGCATGAGGACAGATACTTGATGGCAGAATGCTTTTCGTTCTAGCAGTTGAATAGAAAAGCAATGAGAGGAAGCTGAAAGTAAGCAAATTCAGACAAAAATAAGATGCATTTTTTTATTATGAGTGTAACAGTCGCTGGACTTCAATGACTTCAATCAAGGTTAAAGTGTTTTCTCCCTCATAAGCAACTTAATATTTATGGTGTTTTTCTTAAAGGTAGATCTTTGATCACTTCCTGGAGGTCCACGGAGCCAGGTTCACAGAATCATAGAATATGCCAAGTTGGAAGGGACTCAAAAGCATCATCAAGTCCAGCTCCTGGCCCTGCACAGGACCATCCCCAAGAGTCACACCATGTGCCTGAGAGTATTGTCCAAATGCTTCTTGAACTCTCTCAGGCTTGGTGCTGTGACCACTTCCCTGGGGAACCTGTTCCAGTACCCAACCACCTTCTGGGTGAAGAACCTTTTTGTAATAACTAACCTAAACCTCTTCTGACACAACTTCAGGCCCTCAGGTCCTGAAGCAGCAGAGCAGCTGGAGAAGGTAGTCCAATGTCATGGCCCAGCTAGTAGGCTCAGCCTCTTGGATGGACTGATGGGAAGAAAGGGGAATATATGGTGCTTCTACATCTTTTATGGGCTCTAATAGTTGCAGGAGACTGCTGATACACATCTTCCTTTCCCCAGGCCTTTTGGAACTGAAGACTCCCAAGAGGGAGTATGTGTTATTTTACCAGTCCTAGTTTATTTGGTCTTGTCATCAACTCATTCCATGATCAGTAATATTATTGCTGCCCTGCATTAGAGGAAGGGGCTGATGGTTTCTTGTAGGACAGAATAATAGCATCTTTCTCTGAAGTAGCTCTATGTGGTCCAGCTGATGGTGAGCAGACAGCACACCATGACAGATGTTGCTGGAGGAACTTTAAAGAGGATGGTGGTGTGAGAGACTGAAATATTAAGGATTAATGATTCAAACAATAGGCCATTTGCATAAGCAGCATGGTCCTTTGCTGAGGCCAGGTTTGCATCCCCAAACCGAAGGGGAGGAGTGTTTTTGGGTGTGTGGTTGTGAAACCCCTGATCTGCATAAGAACAGCCCAGGTGCAGAGGGGATGTGCAGAGGGAGGATGACCAAGACAAAGGATCCTTTGACAGATAAGAAGCAGATCCTGTGAGGCAGGATAAGGCTTTTTATCATGTCAATGTCCTCCCTTACACAACTAAGTCAGGTGTAAAACTCCCCTCTGGGAGAGGTATCGGACATTCACATTCACAGGTAGGCCTGAAGTATTCATCTAGTCTGATAAGGCATAAGTGGCTCAGCTACACTGATCTGGCATGACAAACAGTAGTTATGTCTTAAAACTGGTCATAAACCATCAAAGACTTCTGAGTACCCTCAGACTCATTTTTAGGGCCTTCCATCAGAGGACTGCACAGGATCCACAGTATTCCAACAGACAGTGTAAAACTCCCCCTGCCTCAGGAGAGGTACGTGGACATTCCCACCTGAAACTGAAAGTATATTAACTGTGTTTCATGTGCTTCCTCCACCTCTGATGGATCAAGACTGTGACCATCACACATTAAATTGCAACAATCAAGTCTCATCACTGGATCCACAGGAGGTGATATTTTTCCTAGACATTATCTACTCTTATCCTTTCTTTTTCTTTCTTTTCCTTATATATTTTCTTAAGTGATATCTTAACACTTTTATATCTATAGATAATAACCAACATGGCTACATATCTTCTTTCCATTGAAACCAAATTGTTCTAAACTAAACTTGCCATATATAAATATACATATAAACACCAATCATTCAGTGTGTTTAACTCTAATCTGCTCCCAAGGGATCTATTAACCTCAGTTACCCTCACCTTCACGGGGAGTTGTAACAGATGTTTATTGGGGAGGTTAGAGATTTGCAAAGAGCCCCAAAACCTGCATCTTGTTCCCACTTATCTTGTACCACTCTGGATTAGCTCATAATAGGAAATGATGTTGTAGCCAAAGACAGCCCTAGAAAATAATGTCACTTCCTCATCTCCAAGGGTCTGATTAAACTCAGAAATTATTTCTAAAGCTGCTTCTGCATTTCCATCTAGAGTATTACTAACTTTGAATGTAAAAAAAAAAGTTCCAAAATGTTGCAATGCCATAATGATGAAATATTACTGAGGTGTGGGTGGTTCTGTTCTGTAAATGAGTATGCATTATTTATTTGTTTCAAGATCAAAATTCGACAATTGTATGTTGCGTTTCTGCTCTGTGAGGTGAGATTGTCCCACGTAAAGTGCTTGGTACGAGGGGTGGACTTCCTTTTTCACGCTGCACTTCTTAGACAAGATATTTCTCAAAGATATACTTTTGTTCAAGAAGGGCTCAGTGCTGGGTGGCCCAGTGAACGAGGTTATGGTGACCAGACTGGGTAACCACAGCACTCTCTTTCTGGTTTTAAGCTACAAAAGAGGATTTCCTGAGCACAAGGGACAGGACAGCTGAGAGAGGTAGTCCAGCATTGTGGCAAAACCCCAAGACCCATCTTCTAAGAAGGAACAACAGGAAGAAAAGAGAAGGACTACTCAGTGGGGAACTTGACAGGGCCCATGCCCTGCAAAGGGCTTCCCAATGCAGTGTGCAAACCAGGGCGGTGGGCCAGAAGCCAGAGCAGCAGAAGCCATGAGGCATGCCCCAAACTTGCATGATCCATGGTGACAAAATGTGTGGAGCTCTTGTTTTGGGAATGAGATTCCTAAGGGCCTGGTTGTGCCCCTACCTGCCCTGGGTGTGTGGAAGGAGGAGGTGTATATGCTCTCCTGGCTAAAATACAGCAGGGTTTGGCTGGTGGATTGGTAGTGTTTCTACACCTGCCCTAGCTCTGCTCCTGCACAGGATTAGCTCTGTGGCAAAACCCTCACTGATTTCAGCAACTGTTGCCTGAGCCCCTCTCTCCACGCGTCTGTGCTTCTCTGCCACATCCATCAATTAAGCAAAAGCCCCAGACATCTCCATGCTCATGCAATGTTTTAATTATAAAATAGTTTGCTTCTGATTGACAATTACTCTGCCTGGGAATGGGCCTTCGAGATGTGGTGGGCTTTTGAGACCTGTCTGTCACTTTCATCAGCCCTGTCCCCTTCTCCATCTGGCTGCTGAAGCATGAGGTCTCATAGGCTTTTCCATGAAATAAGAGCACTAAAAAAATTAAGAAGTGGTTTGGGCTGGCCTTCGCTGAGGCTGTAGCTTTGGGTTTTTTCCCTTTCCCTCTTAGTTGTGAGTAGGAAATGTCATTACAGTTCCAAGGCTAACCCAATCACACTGTGGCACCTGGCTCTTCCTTCCAGATGTGCTGTAAGCAGAGAAAATAGATAGCGGTGGCACACAGACAACCTGCCACTGACCTGCGTCTGCTAAAGGCAGTGAGACTACCCTGGGGAGAACACTTTTTAGAAGGACAGTCCTCATTCCAGATGCTGGGATCTACATGTGGTCTGAGGCGTCACAATAGGGGTCTCTACAGTGGGAAACCAGGGGGCAGGGCTAAGTGAGGGGAGCAGACTGAGTCTTCTTGCTCTGAAAGCCCTGAGGCTAAAGACCAGGGACAGAAATGCAGATGTGAAGAAATGTGGAAGTCTCTTCTGTATCCTGATATGGATTGTGCAGCTTTACAAGGCACCCTGGGGTCAGAGATGGGTGCAGGAACTTGGGCACTCTCTGTAGTCCTCCTCCTGGGGAGGCAGAAAGCCCCTGCCCTCTCTTGACCTCAGCTGCGCCCAGTCCTGCATTTTCCCATCCCATGACATCCTGGCTGGTGGCAAAAATTGCAGCTCGAAAATACCACGATGACTGGAAGTCATAGCACAGGGTTGGCCTTATATGGTTAAAGGCCATCTGCCACCAGCAAGAGTCACACACTGCTGTAGTGGTCTTCTCATAAGCTTTCTATGGCCAGTGACATATGGGTTGTGCAACATGTTCTCCCATGTAGATTGACCCTTCAGGCCCCATCCTAGTCCCTCCCCACATCAAGAAGCATGTAGAAAAAGACCCTTTTCCTTTTCCAACTAGAAACTCCATGGGATTAGATTTTAGTATCCTGCACTTTGGTTTTCCTTTGTACAATCGCATCAGTAATAGTTTGTTGTTCAACAGTGACTATTGGCAAAGATCAAATATTCAGTGGCACGAAGATCAGGAAATGAACACATTTTGCATGCAACTCTCCCTTCAGCAGTCTGTGGGGGTTTTTTGAGCAATTTGGATTCAGCCACTAGAGAGCAAACTTCTTCTTTTTATAAAATGGAAGTTTATATATTCCTTTAAGAAAGAATTGTACAGTTCTTCAGGCTAAAAAACATAAAAATTGAAAACAGCTAAGTTTACAGAAGGGAAAAGAAGCTTGCTTGCTTGCTTTTTTTGTCTGTCTTTCTCTCTCTCCCCCTCTCTTTCTCTCTCTCTCTCTTCATAAGCTGTGTTTTGGGAAGGGAGAATATATGAGTGTGTTTTGTTGTAGTGAAGGCCTCTGTTAATGATTGCTGAAGCTCTCTTCCTTCATGTCAATCACCAGAGGTAATTGTTCAGGCTGACATTTGACAAGCTCTATGAGAAGCATCTCAAAAGGAGGCCTTGGGACAGCACTACAGGAACGTGCAGAGCGTACAATTGTGTAAGAGTTAGAGGGGAGATCTGCCAACCACCATGATTATACCTATTAATACTGGAGGCTGCCTCTTTCTGGAGTAGTGCTGAGCAGCTGGACTCCCTAAACCATGTGGTTTAAGTGCCCTTGAGATTTTAATGGAAATGGGTTCAAGAAGTCAAATCTTTTCAGAGTGAAGTCTTGAGCCATGGGCTTTGATTTGCCCCTTGATCTTTCACAGCCCAGATGCACCCTGCTCTGATGCTGGGACAGGTATGGAGATAAGTGGTTCTCAGGAGACAAGTCCCAGGTGTGGACTGGGACTTTGCCTCATGTCCCGGGCTTGCCAGCCCAGGTAGCAGCAACAGGAGGGAACTGACCTTCCTGGAAACCACCTCCAAATGGCCCAGAGCACAAGTGAAGCAAATTCTGGTTAAGACAAGATCTGGCAACCCCATCAGCACCTGATCAAAAGCAGCTCTTCCCAGGAAAAGGAAAGGAGATTTTGTGAAATACTT